GGAGGCCTGGGAAGCCAGCGATGGTGCCTGGGGGAGGCCCCCACGGGGCCTGCTGAGGCCTCCGGAGGCCTGGGAAGCCAGCGATGGTGCCTGGGGGAGGCCCCCACGGGGCCTGCTGAGGCCTCCGGAGGCCTGGGAAGCCAGCGATGGTGCCTGGGGGAGGCCCCCACGGGGCCTGCTGAGGCCTCCGGAGGCCTGGGAAGCCAGCGATGGTGCCTGGGGGAGGCCCCCACGGGGCCTGCTGAGGCCTCCGGAGGCCTGGGAAGCCAGCGATGGTGCCTGGGGGAGGCCCCCATGGGGCCTGCTGAGGCCTCCGGAGGCCTGGGAAACCAGCGATGGTGGCATGGAGGGGACAGTATTCGCTCCATAAGACTCATGCACTTTCCCCCCCAGTTTTTTTGGGAGAAAAAGTGCGTCTTATGGTGCAAAAAATACGGTAATCTGAAAGCCTGCAGCTGCAGAGAGGATGGAATTAAAAACTGTACTGTAGGCTGGCCACTGGAGTGGAAAGAACAGAAGACGGGCTTTATAAAGGAAACTTGGGATGCAGTAAATTGAAAATATCTATTTTAATACACTAAGGAAGTGGAGTTCTTGGGGCTGCAGCTCTCAAAAACCCTGGGCAGCACAGCTGGTGGTAAAGACTTCTGGGAATTGCAGTCCAAGAACGCCTGGATTCCCAAGGTCAGGAACCACTGCACTAAGAGATTAAGGGGATGAGACCGTTAAATTCCATGGGCTGCCATGCATTTTGCAGGCAAACATGCCAGACCGAGACAGAGCACACACCTCTTTGTCTCTTATTAGCTTGTTCCACAGGAGTTCCTTATAAAGGCAGGCTGAAGGGGAGGTTCAGCATGCATGTCACACTATGCCCACACATTTTTCAACAAGATGAGGCCGGAGCAGTCAGGGAGGCAGCAAGTTCACTTACAATAATAATACATTAGTGGCACTAGATACCAGTATTGTGCTGATCTGCATAATAAAATGCTCCATAAAGAAAATCAGTATTGTCCCAGGAACAAAGGTGGGTGAATCAAGCACTACATTACAGATCCAATCCAAAATCTGGGTGAATAAATAAGCCTCCAGCTGACACCAAATTTTAAGACTCACTGCCAACTGTACAGTACCTGAAAGAGTTCTTTCTCATCTTTACTTTTTACTCTATAATTGGTGCCAATCACTTCAACTGGAAAAAAATTAAAAGTGAGTGTTCGCATCTAATTTTGAGCCTAGAGAGGCATTACTCATCCTTTCCCAAGATCACTTCGTCACCTGCAGACTGGCATACCTGGCACTTGGGCGACTAGCAGGGCAGCAAAGAAGCAAGTTCTAACACAATGGACCTCAGAGCCAGGTATAAACTCAGTAACACAGGAAGCAATTCAGACTACTGGTCCTCGGTTATATGGCAG